CCGATTCATGGGGTTTCTGCTCTATGGGTCTGTAGATTGGGGTTTAGGGATTTTAGACTAACGGGTAAGTTTTCTTTCAACTAATCGGTTCGTGTTTTTGTCTGGAAGCGATTTATTTGAGTTTTGCAGTTGAAGAAGACAAGTTCTTTTTGATCTGGATTCTTGTTTGCCTCGTGGTTGCATTTTGTAATACGTTGGGGTTTATGATCTTGTTCAGTTGTACTATTCAATGCCTGTTTATGAGTGTTTCCCTGAAATGTGAAGCTTTTTAAGATTAATTATGGTGAAAACGTTTCGAGAAAACGTTCCTGCGGTGTAAGTGTGACCGTGGTTATAACTGAGATTTAATCAAAGATGTTTCCGTGTATCCAGGTAGCAGCAGTAGTGGACTCTGTAGTCCATGTTTTGGTAGCACAAGGCTATGGGTGGTAAAGTGCCAGCTCTTATCGAAGCACAAGTTGAAGTAAGTTAGTTCACGGCAACATACAGAGCTTTTGTACAGATTTTGATCTATTGTCTGAGTTCCTTGGCTTGATGAAAAGATGATTACTGTAACAGATGGGGTCCGTTAATGAACTCGAGCACAAAAGCCTATTTAGACAAGAAGAAGATGCCACACAAAATAAAGCAGCTTCTTTGATGGAGCAAGGATCACTTTCTAGAAATTTCCCTGAACACACGAATAAAGCACCAAAGAACAGTGTAGTTCAGAGCATCAAGATCGTGATTTTATCTAATAAACTCAATCTATTATTACCTTTCGGCCCTCTAGCAATATTGCTCCACTACACTATAGATAGTAAGGTACACTGTTGGAGTTTAGGGTACGAATACTAGTAATTTCATCTCATCTCTAAGAGTTAAATCTCAATAAATGATTTCTCCGTGGCTCAGGGGTGGGTGTTCTTGTTGAGCTTAGTAGGCATTACACCATTGGCTGAACGTCTAGGATATGCCACAGAGTGAGCCTCAATATCACTTGTAGTATAAACTTACCATACCATATTTTGTGTGCGAGACTTATGTGTAAGTATTGGCTTTTTGAATCAGGCAACTGGCTTTTTACACGGGCCCAACTGGTACGACTTCTTTCTAATGAAATAGAAAATTCTTTTTTGTTTCTTTCGTGATATTTTTCTAACATCCTATACAAATTTCACAGTTGGAGGTCTCCTAAATGCTACATTCGGGAATGTGACTGAACTGATCATATCGATTTTCGCATTGAAAAATGGAATGATACGTGTTGTTCAGCTGACATTACTAGGATCAATTCTGTCTAACATGTTGCTTGTACTTGGCTGCGCCTTCTTCTGTGGCGGGCTTGTATTTTACCAAAAAGACCAAGTCTTTGACAAAGTAGGAATCCTTATTCACTTCATTGTATTCTCTTTTTTTCTGTTTTTCTTCTTTACCGTGTTTCTGAGCCTTGTTCTTCGCAATCCAGGGAATCGCAGTTGTAAATTCAGGATTGCTTTTGATGGCTGTCATGGGGATACTCTTCCCGGCTGTTCTTCACTACACTCATAGTGAGGTTCATGCCGGATCATCAGAACTGGCCCTGTCAAGGTTTAGCAGTATCATAATGCTTATAGCCTATGCCGCTTACCTCTTCTACCAGTTAAAGAGCCAGTCTAATTCTTATAGCCCTCTTGATGAGGTTTGTTGTTACCACCACTATTTGTCTCATTTGCTCAAACATTGGTCTTTTTTTTTAATTCCATGAAACCATATGATAATAGCTGATTTATCCTGTTTTACAGCTGTCCATTATTTGTATTTAAACAGATATAAAACCAATTCGTTTGTGTAGTTCTGTTCGACGTGGACTTACCTTCTTGTTTGGTAAATGCTGTAAACTTTAGGAAACAAATCAGAACGAAGAAACTTCAGCTGAAGAAGAAGATCCTGAGATCTCCAAGTGGGAATCTATCATATGGCTCTCTATCTTGACTGCTTGGGTCTCTCTTCTTTCTGGCTATCTTGTTGATGCCATAGAGGTAATCAACGATCTCTTACTTCGTTTTTTTGTCTTATAAAAGATCTTATTGCTTTACTAATTAACATATAGTTAACTTGGCCTTCATTCCTTGGCCATATGATTTGTACACTGCTTAGTGTTTATTACGGGTGTATTTTGGCTTACGAATTACTTTTCCAGGGTGCCTCAGTCTCGTGGAACATACCTATAGCGTTTATCAGTGTGATCTTGCTTCCTTTAGTGGGAAATGCAGCCGAGCATGCAGGCGCTATCATGTTTGCCATGAAAGACAAGCTGGTAGGCAGAGTAGTTCTTGGGTTGTAACATCTTTAGGCTCTTCATTCTCAGCTCTCCTTGAGATATGGTTTAATTTTTTTCACCTCTACAGGATTTGTCGTTGGGAGTGGCTATTGGTTCCTCTATCCAGATTTCCATGTTCGCGGTATGTAACATGAGTAAATTGCAAGATCAGTTTATCATCTTTGGCCAACAAGATTTGTTCAATAATCACTGTTGCTGCTTGATATGGTTAGGTCCCGTTCTGTGTGGTGATTGGATGGATGATGGGTGAACAGATGGACCTCAACTTTCAGCTTTTTGAGACGGCGATGCTGTTCATCACAGTTATAGTAGTAGCCTTTTTCCTCCAGGTGGGTAAAATCCAATAGATCACCTTTCGGACTGACACGAAAATCCAAAATCAATAACTGATGATCTCTCTATGTACACAGGAAGGGACATCAAATTACTTCAAAGGCTTGATGCTCATTCTTTGTTATTTGATAGTAGCTGCCAGTTTCTTTGTACACGAAGATCCTCACCAAGGTTAGTTGGTTCATTTGAATACCAGAACGAGATTCTTTGCAACGTCTCTGTGGCTTGTAATTGCACCATGATACGGCCATGACAGGGAACTGCCAGATAATTTTCTCACTTCCTTGCATTCATTAAGAACACACTGGTGAATTTTTGTTATATATTTCTCTGTTGTCTTTTGGTTAGATGGTATATAAACCCGAGGAAGAGTCTGGTGTGATGTGAAGCAAGGTGGGTCTCTTAATTGAAAGCTGATGATCTCAGGAACACGAAGTGTCGGGGAGACATGTTAAGATGTAAATCTGATTCCAAAGTGGTTTCCACAGACTCGAGAATCTGTTAACTTATTGCTTGTTCGTCTTAAAAGTCTCTAGTTCGAACAAGTGAACATTCTCAGTAACTTAGAAAGGTTACAAGTTTTGTTAAATTACAATTTACAGTGATATTTATTACAAGATTGAAGATTTGGTCTTGTGTTACACTATTAATGGGGGCATTTCTCTGATATCTAGTTCTCCATCTTGACTTTTAAGAATTCACAGTGAAAATTTGACTGGAGATGATACGTGTATTGTAACATTCAGTAAAAATCTGATAGGCAATTATTTTTGTCTGCCCGTGAAAATGAGGTAAAAGTGCTTTAGATTTGAGTTTCTGTGGCTGGTTCAGTCTAAATATTGGACGGAAGAGAATTCATGATTAGTGTAAAATCTACCACTTCTGACAAATAAAGCCAAGGCCTGCATGTAAGTTATATAACTTACGAGACCATGATTTGGTGCAACTTCTGTCAATTCATGATCGTTGTGAATTAAAAATAAGACGCATAGTTTTTAACTTTCATGTTATTACATCTATAGAGCATAAATCTTGTTCTTTAAAAAGAAAAAGGTGAAAGAGTTACAAAGATGGAGTTCCTTTAAGAGTAGTATTATTGTCTTTTGACCAAACTGAATTCCCCCACCACACAAATCAAGCAAAATACGAGGACGAGGAAGATGTATCGGCCAAGATCTGCAAATGTTGGACCATAAATCACATCATTCTTTCATCAGAATATTTTATTAGTATTCATTCATTTATCAGTAACATATCTGTAGTATCTATGCATTTATAAATCCAAGGAAAATCATGTAAAACCCAAATGCATTACCTCAAGCTGTTCTTCAGTGAAAGAGTCTTTCTGGATGTTCCATGTATCTGCATGAGTTCGCCGGAACTCAGCCACTGCTTTAGTCACCGTCGACTTTACAGGCGTTGGTTCACCGGCGAAACGAGCCAGTAACGTCACATGATCCGGTAACCAGCTGAAAATATTTACAAAGTCTCTGATTATTCAGAAAAATGTCCCAAGTTTAAGCTCCGCATCACACACTTTAATGTAAAGATGTTCAAACCTGGGCATGTCATAAGGAACAGACAAAACTGAAGCTACCAAACCAAGAACGGCTCCATGCACCTCCGCGACGGACTGAGTTGAACTTGATTTCCTGAAACAATCAGATTCGATTTTCAGGTTTGAAGAAAAGACATGCAAATCACAGCTTCTGTTTTTTCGTATTCTCACACATTTGGAGACGAAAAATAAATGCTTTAAAAGGGAGAAAGGAAGACCTTCGGTTTCTTTTCTTCTGAATTGAGTTTGCCTCTGCATAGGACCTATCACGAAAATCTGCAGCAAAATCTTCATCTCCTCCCTTCATTAGGCCTGCTAGAACTGCTGCAGCATGCTCTCGTACCTGGAGACCAGATAATATTATCATTAAGAGGTGAAACTACTACACGCTTTATCTGCTTATATACAATCAATCACAAGAATGAATCATTTTTAAACAACTCTACTTCACTAATTGCCAACAACATAATCCAAGCAAAACTAAGAACTTACCTCTACTTGGCTGTCAACAAGGAGCTTTTCCACGGTCTTCCAGATCTTCTGCTTCTCTTCATGAGTGAGTATGAAAGTATGCCTAGCAAGAAATGTTAAAATAGAAAAGCTTTGTCAATCAACAGCGCATTTGTTTACCACCTTGCTATATAAACGTGTATATATATTACCTGTACATAAAAGTCCGCAGATATGTCAGGGTTGAAGATCTTATCCGCCAGTTAGAGTCATCAGCAGAGGAAAGAATGACTCCAACAACTTTCTGTAGATGAGATTCTGAGAAAACCCGCCACTTCATCAGCTCAAAGGCTGCCTTAGCCAATGTGGACAGATCTTTATGTGATGTTTCCTTCAATACATTGAAATAAATCTTTCATGATTCCCAGTAATGGAAAAGCAATTTAGCAGAAAGAAAGTAAAGCAAATATAATAGTCATACCTGTAAGGATATCACCGGATAAAGGAATCCCGCAATCACATCTAGCAGATATGAGGACCTCCCGGATTTGAAAGATGAAATAATGAAATGGAAGAGCTACGAATAAAGGGAAAAAAAAAAAGAGATTAGTATTAAATGTCTAAAGTAAGGGGAAGAAAAATAAATTATCCCCAGAAATTTGACTGCCAGTACCGTCTCCATCCATTTAACATCATCTTGGGAATCGCCAGTTGATTGAGCATTTTCCATAACTACATCTGCTGAAGTGTCCAAGCTATCTGATATGCTAGCTTGTTGAATGTTTGTAACAGCTTCAGATGCTCTTGTACTAATTAACTTGAACCAATTTTCTTCCTCAAGTCGGCTATCAACATCTGTTCTCCTTTCTTCAGATGGATACTCTTGTCGATATGACATCCGTAGGCGAATGTTAGAAGATAATACCGAAAGAGTTACACCGATCGCTTCCCTTATCTGCTCATTGTCACACAAAAGTAATAGGCTTTTCAAATTTTGTTGTTGACGATTCTATCTTAGCTTATCAAAAGACAGTCAAATGCATAATTCTGCATGAAAACAAAAGGGGCAGAGATGTTGGGTGCCATAAATGAGTGTGAGAAGTCTTACTTGGGCCGAGGAATGGGACATATTACAGATCAATTCATCAAGAAGCAGGATATGCAGCTTCACTTCTGATACGGGCATCTTTAGTGGAGACAATTCTATTAAAGCAGCCAAAAGAAAAGCATATCGCTTTGCAACAACCGTGGTGGTCGCAGTTGGTGGTAATGGTGCCACTATACAGTCCAAAATTTGTTGTCTCATGACAGGAATTTTGGTTCCTTGTTTCCCTTTCCCTGTGACAGCATAACGTATGCAAGCAGCCCACTCTGGTATTGATTCCACTGATTGGCCAAGAATAACATTCTGCAACTGAACCATTATCCAGCTATTCCACTCACTAACAAGACCATTAACATCAGAGTGCAGTAAACCTGCTAATGCTTCAGCAGCAACACACTGTTTTGATCTCTCCTTTGCATTAGAAAACTCCTCTAAGGGACTTTTCAGTGCCAGCAACACAGGTACCCCACATTCTTGTGCTAACCGCTTAAAGATGCGAGCGAAACTTGGGTAGAATATATCACTTCCTAACAAAGATATCCAACTAGGAGTTCTTGGCCATGAAGCGGAAAATTCAAAATAGAAACGAGTAATTGACTTGTCCGCCATGCTCTGGAAGGATGAACTTCCGTGATTCCCTCTAGAAGAACTATCTGTGTCAGTGATATGAATATGAGATAGACTTTCAAAAGTCTCCCTGAAGAATCCTTCTTCTTGAAAAATTTGGCTCAATGCTATATCAAGAGATGAATTGGCATTTTCTTGCGAAGACAAAGAAGGCTGATCCTTGCCTTGCATCTTATGAGGTGATTCTTTAAGTAGCGTGTTTAAAGCTGAAATTGCCAGTATTCTTGTCTGAGGAAGTTGACTTTTCAAGTTTTTCAAGAAATGGCCTGGAAAATACGACCATACTTTTGTTAAGGAGTAAAATAAAAAAGTATGAAGGAAAAGACTTCCCACATATTCTACCAACTAAATTCTGTACCAGCAGTTTCATCAAGGATTTTGAAGGAGAAGCTTGGGTCACTCCTAGAGGACATAGCTAACAGAAGGAGCACTCTGTTAGCCATCAAGTTGTACCTGGCATAAGAAAAAAAAACCATTATGACTCCAAAGCTTCGAAATTATGAGAGTTGGGGAGATAAAATTCAACAAGGTATATGATAATGATTTCCAAATATAAAAAAATGAATAATGGTAGGGTAGATATACCGCCAATGCAAGCTAGAAGAATCAAAACTCAATGAGCCAATCTGAGAAATAAGATCTCCGGAAGTAGACCCCTCAACATGGCTATCCAATGAGCGAAGGACGTTTCTAGACAGTCCCGCAAAGTGAATGTTATATTTGACAAAAAGCTGCAAGCATAATAAATTAGGCAAAAACTCGAAGAAAGAAAAATGTCCTTTACCCTAACATCAAAGACTGGACCCTTACCTCAATGATTGCTTTTTGGGCTTTCATAGATTCATGATGAGAGCTACAAAACATTGAAGATAAATCTTAATGCCAATTTTACAATCATATTTGTCATTTCCAAGAGATACAACTAAGTTATCATAGAAGTGTAAAAAGGTTACCTTGAAAGGATCCCAAGAAGAAAAGAGGAAAATGATTTTGGATCCTAGAGTAGCAGAACAAACATAATAAGATTTTGCAATTGAAATAAAGCAAAGAACAACATTAAATGACTACCGTTGTCAAATGCTTGAGAACACTCTGTGAAGAGAGAATGGCACAAGAACCAAGGACTACATTCTCTGGTGCATCCTGATTCCGCAAGTTCCCAGTAAGGGACAGAACACACTTTGAAAGAAATGAAGGCCATCTCTTTAACAGTTTCAGCAAAGATTTTCCAGCCAGCCTGAATAATTTAAAGCAAAGCCAGGTAAATTAATGTAGGAAATAAGGGTAAATCCCTGTAGAGAATTTTACTAAAAACAAGTTTGGTTTAAAGAGGGTGTTTATTCCACTCCCCAGCTTAAGACCTATAACCCATTATTAATTAACTGACAAGCATATCAATACCATAGATAGGCACAAAAGTACTCACACTCGAACAG